TGGCCCACCCAAACCCCTCCTCCCTCACCGCGTGCGTTCCCTCCTGGCACCAGCTGCTTGCATTCATGCCAATGTGGAGCGGCCGCTCCACATTGAAGCCAGTTCAGAGCGGAGGCGACCTCTGACTGTCTCCGCCATTGAAGTGGGGCGTCGGCCGAGGGCGCCGCCCGCTGGATGCCCGGCTGAACACGCCTCCTCGCCACATTCAAACGGATGTGGATTGCCCACCTTCCTCCACTAAACCCACGTGTTTGCCGAGATACCTACTCCGGTGACACGTCTGTTCGCGAGCTGGCCGAAAATAAACACAATGCCGGTTGGCTCCTCGTGTCCGCCCTTTATTTAAACGATGCCGGATGATGGTCAAGAACCGCATCACACCTCTGCTCCCCGTTTTCTCCTTGAACAATTTTCTTCATAGCATCTTGCGAGCAGGAAGAAGAGTTCTCCGGCACAAAAGCCGGTTGGGTGGCCCGTCGAGCCCGCCGGTCACGAGCCAAGCAACTGTCTGTTCCACCTCCATCGACGCTCCAGGCTGACGTAAGCCAGCTCACAGAGGTTGAAGCTCCAGGTCGGTGTGTTGTTCAGCTCACCGAGGAGTGACGAGTTGCTCCAGGCCGACACGAGGGGGGGGGCACGGTGGCAGGGTATCATGGCTTCTGTGGACAACGTCGTGTCGTACCGCACCTGCGATCGCGCCATCCGTCATCAACGTGCGTGTAACCGCACCCTACCAGCACTGAAAGGAGTCGAATACGCGGACATCGACGAGGCGGTGGCCAACACATCTGCGCCCGCCGCCATCATCGACGAGAAGTAGAACACGGGAGGCCGCCGCCGCTTGGGTCCCATGAAGGCCACCACCGAGGCGACGTTAGTGTACACAACCAGTATCTTTCCCTCCAGTAGGTCACCGTTGTCCCCCTACCCAAAAACCAACCCTGATACGTGGAGCGTAGGGCACCCTTCCCCTCAGGCTGAAGCATCAGCCGGTGGTTCCACTCCTATGAGCGGTGGGGAAGCGAGCCGCCTTTGCGCTGAAGCATACCGGGGCTCACGGCTGTCGGCCATGAGGAAGACAACGGAGATCCGCTGCGGCCGGCTGTGTAGACTAGTCAAGAGTATCCATGTCGTCGGAATGAATATCCACCGGCACCGGCCGTTGACTAGTTCTATCTTAGCCCGGTATCATTTTTAGGTAAAAGAAATGTCAAAAATATAATGAATTTCTTCTGGTTTGTATAAAATCCGTCGTGTTTGCATGTATTTGGTCCGGTTAGTTTAAAGAGTGGTTAAAATGTATGCGAGCAATGTTGGATGACGGCCTTCGGCATCCGCGTCCGTGGATTGGTCCTCTGTCCGGGGATGGATTCGACAGAAAATTTGCTGGTCGACGTTGGAGATGCCGTAATGCATAAAATCTTGTTCCCGCCTGTCCGCGGACACGTCTGAACACCAGCACCAAGATCCCTGCGTGCGTGTGTTGTACATTTGCTAGCTAAAGCAAATCTTTGTCTCGTCCACCACAGCACTCGTGTGGGTTGGTCTAGTCCTTGGCGAAAGCTAGCAAGGTTGGACGTTGTTGTGACATACGTGCGGTGCCGGTCGTCGGCGTACGTAGCCGTCCATGCGAGCTTAGCGGTTGATCGTCGGCGTACGTAGCCGTCCATGCGAGCGTAGCGGTTGGTCGTCGGCGTACGTAGCCGTCCATGCGAGAGCGGCGGTTCAAACGAGTCGCTTCGTCGAGCGACGAATGTGACTGGTGGAGAAGCAAACGACCCAGACGCGCGCATGAGGACACGTACGTGACCGGCCGAAAGCCTGGCGTGGCCTGCCCTCAGCCCCTCCTCACCCCTACCTTACGCACGAAGCTAGCCAGTACTCCTACTTGTATATAAATATCACTACATGCCCGGTAGTGCATTCCAGTGCCAGTGCGACATGGAGATGGTCTCTGGAGGAAGGAGGAGGAGCGACACCCCTGGAGGAGGAAGGAGAAGCCGCCCTGCGACTCAGCGCACAATAAAGCTACTGGTGAACACCCGCACCGGGCGCGTGGTGTGCGCGGAGGCGGGCAAGGATGTGGTGGACTTCCTCTTCTCCCTCCTCGCCCTCCCCATCGGCACCGTCGTCAGGCTGCTCGCCGCGGATCCCATCGGCAGCGTCGGCAACTTGTCCCGGAGCCTCGACGAGCTCGACGGCACCTACATCGTCGATGAAGATGCAAGGGACGCCCTGCTCCCGCCCAGGGCCGGCGGCGGCCTTCTCCTCCTGCTCACCGCTGGCGCGTCGTCCTTCTCTCGCGGGGTCGTGCAGGGCGTCGTGACCTACACCATCACGGACGACCTCAAGGTCACCCCCATGTCTCGCATCTCCGAGATCCCCATGATCAACGCACACCGCATCAGGGACCCCCGCGACCTCCAGGAGAGGATTGTCCACTTTGGCCGCACCGAGGTATGAAACTAGTACTATACTAACTATTAGTAGAGATCGATCGGTTGAATTAATTTTGATGGAGGATATGATGTTTGTCAGAGTCTGAAGATACTCAAGGCGTCACTGCAGTCCCAGACGGTCCTCACCGACGTCTTCCTTAGGAGGCCTTAAACCGCAACCTCAAGAGTCAATAATCGATCCTTATGATCCCCACCAGAGTTCACAGTCTTCTTCCCGTGTCGGTGTTGCATGCGCGTGTGTGCATGTGTGTCTAGCTTTGGTGATTTATATCTATATATGGTCGTGAAGAACATTAAGTAAAGAGTCTGGTTAGTGGTTTAGGTTAGGGGTTTTTTTGTCCTCGGGGGTGCCGCACTCGGATGGATGGTGACGCTTCTTCTTCGAGATTGTCTTCCGGGCTTCAATCCTCCTCGAGTTTGTTCGTTTGGACATAATCGGTGGAGCTCCGGTGTAGATTCCTACCGTCTCCTTGGGACGGTGAGGTCAGGGTTTCTCGTCATGTGGCGAGATTTGGTGTCTAGTGCTTCAGTTCTATGCAAGGGTTCAATGGCGACGACGGTGCCTCCAGGACGGTCCTTAGGGACACGTGCATGAAGATTTTCCAGCTATCATCGACAAGGTCAGGCCGGCTCCGGTAGTCCAGCGGTGACATCGGTGTGTCGGCGGCTCGTACTCGTTTGATGGTCTCAAAATCTCAATGTAATTTTTATTATGTTTGAAATATTTTGTATTTTCAATGAACTTTCATAATAGATCTTTGTGCAAAAAAGGGGTAGTTATCATCTGGTATCTATTCAGCTGCATGTGACTGTAAATCACCGATCAACTGGTCCCATCGTGTTCACTTGGTCCTTGAATCAACTGTGATTTTTCTTCCGTGACGGTGCACTGTGCAATCTTGGTTGGACTTTGGCGTCCTTTTGATAACAACTTCTCCTGGATTTTGCGATAGTGCTTCACACCTATACAGAAAATTTCCTACGGGTAATCTCCTCCATGAATTTAAAGTAACCCCTTTATTCCAACTAATGGACCTTGTGATATTTTCTTCAGTAATGCTACACCTATGTAATTTTTTTTCGAGAGTACGCCTTGGCGTACCATAGCTTTATAGAAAGCAAAATTAGAGTTACAAGAAACTACACTCGCTGCGAACAACGAGCATAGCACAACACCACACCCAATCACAACACCGCAAAGCAAGCTACAACACAAATGGCCTATCCTAATCGAAACTCAACACCGCGTCTCGACCGACGCCGGACATCTTCGAAGAACACCAACTTCCGTATAGCTTCACTTGTCGACGCACCATCCACTCTTATCGCCTAAGAGGAAGTGGCAAGTGGATGGTAGGACTCGATCCGGTCCGAGAAAGACGCCGTCTTGGACACACCAGCGACGGGCGTACATAGCCGTAGAGGATCAAGGAGGACAGTGGCAAACACCGAAGGAGAGCGACGAGGAGCCGTCCATGTCTCCAAACACAATGCTCCCAGCAGAGGAACGACGTCGAAGACGCCACCATTGTGTCAATCCAACCGAATCGAGGCTTTCGCCCGAAGACAACCACAACTCCAAGCAAGTGAGGGAGGTGACGAGCACACCACAACGACGCCTCCAAGGAGGGGAATGGCATCCGCGGGTGCCATCGCCGCCGGCCTGACGGAAGCCGAGCAAGATTTTCATCCGCACGTCGCACCTCACCACACCATCTAGTATTGGGCAACACCGTCCCAGAAGCTTCACACAGCCGCCACCGCAGCACTTCGCCGACGTAGCTGCCAAGCCGAGGGCCATCGACCGGACGCACAGCAAGGAGCACACTAGCCACACCATCAACGACCCTGCCTGGACAGGAACCGCAGCCTCTCCGCACCTCCGGCAAGTCCAGGCCGCCCACAACAGCCATCGCCCACTCCAAGGGACAGCCTTGCAACGACTGGACCCGCATCTCGACGAAGCCAGGCTGCACCATCGGAAAAGCATCCTTGCTCATCACGCCGAACAGAAGTGTCCGGCCGCTCGCTGCTCGCCAAGACTCCATCTTGGCTGAGCCTCACAGCGCCAACACCAAACTGCCCGCGGACTCGCGCTTCTGCCACCGAACACCTATTTAATTTTAGTTACGTGTTTAACATAAAGAGCAACGTGAAGGGCATTGATTGGACATAGAGGGAGGCACG